AGATATATGCAAGATTATTTCCTTTATTCCACTATATTTCATGAACTGATGTCAAGGTGGCAAACATCTGATATCAAAGTGCACAGTAGTGCATAAAGTGCTCAAGGTAAGCTTTGGAATCCAGAATCTCCTCATGTGGATGTGTATTATATATGTTTTGGGGTGCCGCATACTGCCTACCAAGTAGCTGATGGTAATGATGATGCTAATGAAGTGCAGTCCTCAGAGTCTGCTGCTCTATCACGTCTCATATTTCATTATGAGCCCAATGTCATAAGACATCACCAGATCATCATCAGTGTGTCTGCATTTGATGTTTGGGGAACATACATCTGAACATACATCTGAAGATGCAACTCAACTGTCAGTTGTATTATGCTTAGAAGGTGCTACAGGTTTTTATTCATCTTTAGCCAAAATGACATTTTTCGATGAAGTGTCTATCTAGACACAAGACAGATTGAAACCAGGACACTTTGGAATTACAGTCACGAAAATACATTGAATGTTAAATCTGAATTGTTTCATCTACATCTAATATGAACATGACTGTAGTGAGACACATTACTAGAAGATAGTTAGCAAGTTAGATGGAGCAATTAGGGAGGCTGTCGAAATGATTCTTTTGAAGTCGTCCTCCTAAGCTCTTGTAGCCAATATGTTAGCTAAAAAGGAAAGAGGGAGACAGGGGAGCAGTCAATGTGGTAAATACCTCCCTTCATATTCTTAGCTGCCATGTTGAGTGTGCTTGAAATATCAATGGAGTAAATGTCACGGGAATGACATGAGATGTGCAAGAGGGAATGAGTGAAGAATTTGTGTCTTTGTATGGAGGGATGAAACGAAGGCATCTACACATGATTTGAAGTTGTTTGAGTGGAATCAGAGTCTCTGATGTTCTGTCTCCATCTATAAATCATATACAATCCTCAACCAAAATAAAATTAAAGGAATAAGCATCCATCTTAAGGAAATCCAAATGACTTTTGTAGCCTCCCAACTTAAGTATCATTAACCTTTATGACAATTTCTGTCTACCTCCTCTTGAATAATTATCTAAAATCTCACTTGTGAAATGGAATAAAGCTATTATAAGGCAATTCGTGGCTGTACTCCTTTTGTTTACTGCATTGTTATGTCTTTCCATTATTAAGTGAGGAGTTGCATGTCTATTCATTTTACTAGTCAACCAGTAATTCAAAGTAGTCAACTAGTCTCTTCCACAGTTAAAACAAAAATGATTCAGGACATCAAATAAGATCAGTATAAGCACTTGATAGGATCTCACCCTCAATAAGGATCACACTAGAGTGATTATCATTCTTATCATCTCAACAGTCATTGTTCCCCATAGAAAAAGGTATTAACACTTATTGAAAACACTACCCATGGAACTCACAGGAAGTGTTCAGGGAATACATCAGAAAGTATTATGAAACGTAAAAACAGTCAATAGAATCAAGAACCATAATAAATCAAAGAAAAATCAACAAGACACTCACTCACTCACTTTCAGTAACAACTTTATGCTTGTTAGGGAATACAGGGCATGAGGCAGGATATAATCTGGATGGGTCACCAGTCAGTTGCAAGGCACCAGTAGTAGCCAGTCCACTTACTGGTGTGGTTTTTTCAGAGGTGGGAGGAAACCGGAGAACCCAGAGGAAATCCACACTGACATGGAGAGATGGAGTAAATCAAGCTCAGGTTCAAACCCGGGACCCTGGAGCAACGCTACCCACTGCACCCACTGGCCATGCACAAGACAGGGAGTAAAAATCAGAAAATGGAACCCAAAACTATAAACAGAAAATACTGACCAGAATCTGAGTTAAAAGGCTTAGTAATGAGGCAGTACAAGCTAACAAGACTTGGTCTCATTGGTCTCAACATTGGACATTTCTGGCAAGCTTTCTATCTAATGTGACTGAATAACCTAACTATCTTTCAAAACAACAGTGTCTTTCACAAATCAAGGAACCTATATCTTTTATTACATTTCCTTCTCTATCCCATCAGGTGAATGCATTCCTGTCATTCATTGTTCCCATGGGTCTGATCTCAGTGCTGAATGGAGTCATTGCCAGTCAGCTTCTTCGTATGTTTCGTGAGGCAGCTCAGGACAACCGTGTCTGCCTTGTTGGGGGTAATGCCACTATGCTCAGCGTTGCTGTGGAGCCCAACCGTGCCCAGTCCCTGCGCCATGGCGTTATGGTGTTGCGTAAGTAACAGTCAAATGTCTATGGAATGTACATGATGCTTACACTGTAAAAAGCTACACTCATGGGGAAAAAGAAAGTACACCCTCCTTCAACTCTCCTCTAGTTTTATTTATCAGGGGCTAAATAACAATTGTGTGGTCTTCACCAACTTCCATAAGCAAACAAATAACCTCAGGTGACAACAAAAAACACAAGAGATTTCAATATGTAGTTATTTTCTCCCACTGTTTCTCAATGTAGAATGGTGAATTTCAAATTCTTTGGAGATGGCCTTATAACCCTTTCCAAATTGATGAGCAGCAACATTTGCTTCTCAGAGGCCAGGGCTGCCATACTTTCATCTTGGCATGATGTATGCACAAGCTTGAATTCTCCAGCACACCAAACTGCCAAAAGTTCTGCTTTTATACAGGTAGTCACATTTGGGGCAGTCGTGGCCTAATGGATAGGGAGTCGGACTTACAACCCGAAGGTGAACCTGAAGGTTGTGGGTTCGAGTCTCAGGTCCAGCAGGGATTGTGGGTGGGGGGAGTGAATGACCAGCGCTCTCTTCCACCCTCAATACCACAACTGAGGTGAGACCCTTGAGCAAGGCACCGAACCCCCAACTGCTCCCCGGGTGCTGCAGCAAAAAAAGGCTGCCCACTGCTCCGGCTGCCCACTGCTCCGGGTGTGTGCTCACGGTGTGTATGTGTGTGTTCACTACTGTGTGTGTGCACTTGGATGGGTTAAATGCAGAGCACAAATTCCTAGTATGGGTCACCATACTTGGCCACAAGTCACTTCACTTTCACTTTCACTTTTCACTTTCTTGATGATTAACTAGTCTTGTGCATTTCATTAGTAACACCTGGCTGCTAATTACTCTCTTAATAATTGTGGAAGTAGGAACTGTGGACTTATTTTTTCCCCACCTGGTTTCTGAATGTTGGTTTACTTTTTAGGGAAAAATAACTACATATTGAAATCTGGTGTGTTTTTTGTTGTCACCTGAGGTTATTTGTTTGCTTATAGAAATTGGTGAGGACCACACAATTGTTATTTAGGCTCTGATAAATAAAAACATAGAATTGAATGAGGGTGTACTTTCTTTTTGCAATGATTGTATTTGTGGTATCTCCTTAAAAGACTGAGGCTATAATATTACACAAATATTATGAGTAATTTTAGAGACATGTTTTTAGTAAATTCTACTTAAATCACAAAATTATGCAAGTCAGTGAAACAGGGTCAGTTTAAAAAATGGTTCCTTCTTTTAAATATTGTAAGTTAATTACCAAATAAATAAAGTAAAATAAGTTGGATTACATGAATATAAAGTGCTATTATTGTTATCATTTTTACTAGATTACTGCTACTCATCTAGAAACTAGTTAAAAGGAAGGAGGGAGCTAGGTAGGTAGTTACATAGGTGGGTTGGGGGATTGGGTGGGTAAGCAGGTAGGTGGGTAGAAAAAAATAACAAAAAAATAGAGACATGCTTAATTATTTATTGGTTGCTTTATTGTTTTTTAATATCTTTTGTTGGACAAGTATAAGTTGCATTTAGAAGAGGCAGGATACAAATGCATACAATCGATGTGTTATTTGTCTTTATTTATCTTTATTTTTGAGAGAAAAAAACTCATGAAACTTAGAAGGGGTCAAGGTACAGGCAGACAGGGTAATAGGCATATCCATACTCATAAACAGCAACACAGGCAAGGGTCTAAACATGGAAGCAAACCTGGAACCAAAGAACAGGGAACACTGGAAACTAAGGCTCAGAAACTCACATTACAATGAACAAGACTTCACAATGAAACAAAGGAACATGAGGGTATACAAACACAAACTAATCAAGGGATGAACTCAGAACAGGTGTACAAATTAGGTAACATACTAATTATGAGACTGTTAACAAAAAGCACAAATTAAAAATGTGCTGTTCAAAGTGTGACTAGTGCTGATTTTTACAGAATGTCAGGTACTATAACATCAAAAATAAATATAACAACACTGCTTAACATATCTGAATTATCAGGTTCTATATAGGAATGACTGTAAAATTAGAAGACAGCACTTACTTTGTACTGAAAACTAAACTAGCAGTTTAAGTTTCATTTGTACAGTGGAAGACTTACAAGACTTACGTCAGCCTGCAGCGTAGTTCAATCAAATTAAAATGATTGAACACATTTTACACACCAATTTAAATCATCATAATTAGTTAGTAATCTTTCTGTATTTTATTAATGAAATGCATCCATATTTTTGCATACAACATGTAATCGTGATTTCATAATGGTAAAAATACCATTATGTGTAGGTAATGGCTTGCACACTGATTGCCATACACAATGATGAGTTTAGACATAAATAAATTAATAGTGCACAATTACAAATGTTGACAATATTACAGTTTTCACTTGGGGTTGTTTATCTAGTCTAAGTCTTTTTTGAATGCTGCTGACAAAAGCAAAACAGACAAAGAAAATAGTGTGCTAGAGAAACATGAGAGATTTGAAGAACTTGAAATATGAGCTTGCTTGGTGCAACTTAACCAGAAAATTTTGTGTATGTTAGTTTCTGGGGTTTTTTCATCCTCCCAAACAAATTGTTCTCCTCCCAATCACTTGTTCTTCTTTTGGCTGCTCCCGTTAGGAGACGCCACATATTTGATTTGGCACAGTTTTTACACCAAGTGCCCTTCCTGACACAACACTCCCCACTTTTATAAGGGCTTGGGACCGGCACTGGGAGTGCACTGTCTCGTGCAACCCCAGTGGCTGGGGATCGTTTCCTGGCCGGCAATCGAACCAAGGCCATGGCAGCGAGAGTGCCGAAGCCTAACCACTAGTCCTCCATAGACCACTGTTCTCCTCCCAATCAGTAACATATGTTATATGCAACATATGTGTAATATACTAGACAAAAACAAGACATCCACTGTCAAATGTTATTTGCTTGGATATAGCTTGGTAGAGACATTTGATCCACCCAAGCAGTTGTATGTTTGTAATTCTTCTAATGTGCTAATTCTATAAAATCAGTAAGCATAGTGTAACACTGGCACTTAATGAATAATGAGAAGAGTCTCTAATACCATTGCACTGTTCACATGCATGTCTTTGAAGGATGGAGCTTTGGAGAAACGTTTGGTTGCAGGGTGTGTGTGTGGGGTGTGTGTGGGGGGGGGGGGAGGAATGGACTTCTTCAGTTGTTTACTCTAGCCAATTCAATTTAATTTTATTTGTATAGTGCTTTTAACAATAGATATATTCATAAAAGGAGCTTTATAAATATCTATATGTATATTTATAATTAGATCCCTAATGAACAAGCCAGAGGCAACAGTGGCAAGGAAAAACGTCCTGAGAAACCTTGAGAGGAGCCAGATTCAAAAGGGAACCCATCCTCTTCTGGGCGACACCAGATAGTGGGATTATAAATCATTATTATTCTGCAATTATACACTATGAATTCAAAACACTAGTATTTAAGTGTGTTGAAAGGATGTTCAGTATGGGCATCATAGTCTTTGTAATTACAGCAGCAGTTCTTAGGTGCAAGTGTACAGTATCAAGGAGAGATAATCCAATGAAGAAAGGGTGAAGCTTGGGCAAAAAATGTTTTTGGGAAGTGCAATTTTTAGTATATCTTAGACAATCTACAGCAGCAGAGGGGGAGTCACATGTGCAGAAGTATCAGCCTCCAAGCTGAGGTATCAGGACTAATCAGACAGGTCTAGAGGGTAAGAGGAGCCAGAGTAGTAGAAGTGTGTTACGATCAGGTACCAACATTACATCGGCCAACAGGAGTACAGGTACAGCTAGAGAGAGAGAGAGATTGAGATTATTAGGATTACTAGATGATCTTATCCTACAGTGGTTTAAAAGGTGTATGCAACATGAGCATAACTAAAAGGAAGATTCAGAAGTTAAGACAGGCATTAGTGGGCACAGTGGGACATAAGGCATCCTCCTGCTCCACCATCAACAAACCTGTGTGATAACTTTGGGGGGCGGGGGGTGGTATGTGTGGTAGACATTTAAACTGTGTCTGAGACTTGAACACTACTTGAAAGGCTATTTAATAGCTGGGGGCTTTGTAGGAAAAAGCTCTGCTCCCTGCTGTAGTTTTCATTATTACAGGCACTAATAAAGAACCTGCAAGATCGAAGGGAATATGGCAGATCATAAAAGACCAAGATTTCGCTCAGGTAATGTGGGGCTCGGTGCAAATGTTGGCAAGATTGCCAGCATCTATCACAGTGGGTTTAAAGGCAAAAGAAAATGCTTGTTTTTCTTTACCCTATAAAAAACTGTTTCATCTATGGAAGTACTTTTCTGAGACAGGCTCCTGAACCACCTGAGCACCCTGCCTTTTACTATCTATATGGACCACTGCTTTTTTAACTTTCCAAACAAAAAAAAAAAAAACAACAGACAGGCATCCAGCATTCAAGCTGTGCTTCATCTACAATGGATAAGCAAAAAAAAAAAACCTTTTGGTTCGGCTTAATGTAAATTGAATAGCATTCTAGCATGCAACAAATATCCTTTTTTGTAGTGTGTGTGAGAGAGACAGAGGAATCAAAGATATAAAATAAAAGGACTGTCACAAAAATATCACACAAAGTTATTTGTATTCTCCACAGGGAACTTTCAAATATCTTTATTAATCACAGCCTATTATATGCTGCAATTCTGCAGCTTGCATTTTTTTCACCATGTGATCTGTGATGACTTAAGAGGTGTACTAGTATTATATAGTCTTCTCTGTTTTCACCATCAATTTATCACTTAGAAAGCATGTATGTAAGACTTCGCTCTACATATCAACAGTTCATTTTTTTCTGATTTCACTTAGAAATGCAGTAGGTGCCCAGTTCTTAATGTGTGCAGTGTCAACAGCCTGTAATCACCATTAATAGAGCAGGGTGCTGCTATCAGGCTGTGCTGTTCTTACACAAGCTTTTAGTATGGCAGGTGATTTGATTAATACCTTAGGGTTAATGACACTTACTAAGAAGAAAAAAATCAGGACCAGTCCCAGACCACCAAATATGAACTGCAGCTAAGTTCTCGAAAGTGGATATTATTTATCACTAAAATTGATTTATTTCTCTGCTAATATTGTACTTTGCGAGCTCTGCTATAAGAAAACATAAATAGATTTTACTGAAATGATGTGCAAATTTTATTTAGGCTACTTTCTAACTTTGCCTTGGCTGACTGCCTATAAAGATCACATTGGGTAAGAAGCCATTTTATCAAATGCAGCAGTAAATGTAGTCAGTCTGCCTAAAGATGTCCAAAGTCTTGCTAGCCAAGTGTGCTTTTCTTAATTTTTGAATAGTTCCATGCCATAGAGAAACTGACATAAGCCTAATCAATTCTGTTTATTATCAGATATCAGCTTTCAAATTGTCTGTAATGCTCCTTTTTTACTTTTCCCCCATTCTCTCCCTCAATTCTAGCTAACTCTCTACTAGCTAACTCTCCCCTATCACACAACAACTACCAACCAGAGAAGCTAGAACAAACACATGCTTCCTCTGAGATACATGAAGCCAACCTCCACATCTTTTTGAACTGCTACTCATGCTGCATCACAGTCACAGGGCAGCGTAACACACTTGGAAGAGAGCACTTCCTTCACTGTTTCTGACCCAGACGCCCACAGTTGGTTGCAAGTGACCTTTACCTCATGATAAGACAAATAATAATGTGGATGATGCTGATAATCAAAGTGATAATTCATTTCTCAATGTAAACTTATAGAATTTGGCAGTAGTGTTTTCCATAAGTAGATTATGTTACAAACGTGAAGGTAGGTGGGGTTTCTTTCCATGGAATTGGAATGAAATCATTAAATGAAGAGAAAACATTGTTGTTATAAAGTTGTGTAATGTTATTACTTTATTATTTGTTATTACTTTACTTGTGGTTGTGATGCGTCCAAAAAAAGAAACATTTTTAATTTCAGGAGTACCTGTAGTTTCTAAAACTTCATATAGTAGAAAATGTCAAAATTTGACCGTGTGAAGGGTTTTTCCAGGCTGCCACACAAACACACATGCACGATTTTTATATAAATAATATTTTGATCTACATAATAAGTGTCATTCATTTTTCCTATAAATCTGCAGAAATGATCAACATTCTCCTCTCGGTTTCTGTGGGGTCACTGAATGCCATTGGCTAAGTGCTGTGTAATTTCCTGCAAAAACACTTCCCTGACAATCAGAGGCCATAGATCACAGTGCCACACTGATTTCCCAGCTTTGCCATCTAGCAGATGCACTGATCCACAGCAATGTAAATCTGAAAGCCAGGGACAACTTCTAATTACAGGCAATCCATGGAAAAGACTTGCCTTTTTGGAGGGTCACAAAGTTCTGGAGACGTTTTTATCCTTCTCCATTTATTGAATGTTTCCCTAAATTGAATTCAGCCTATATAAAAGCACCATAAAAGCCTGAGTCCTCTGATAGGACTCCAAAGCCAAAGGCTCTTTGGAGAAGTATTTGCTCCCCGAGTTGAACTGGGTCCAATGGGGGCACTTACTTAGAGTATTGAAAAGAAATCTCTAAATCTGAGGAAGAAGATATAGTGAAGCTTGGTATACACATGTATTAAGGGAAGAAATAGTTTAAAGTCCTTCATAGTATGCATCAGTGTGCTGCCTTCTCAAATCCCACTAGGGTATTGCATTCAGTACATTCAGTAATATATGTTTCAGCAGTCCCTTGAACCTTTGAACTGAATAACCCATCTTAAATATATTTTTCGAACTGTTATATGCTGTGACCAAAGACATATCCAAAGCAAGTTGAACAACCAAAGAAGATGACTTGAAGGGACAGAGAGGGTTTTGTGCTGAGATGGTCACATAGCTCAGAGTGAGATGGACAAAGAAAGTAATGACTACACAAGTAAAGCAAAATGGCAAAGATAGGAAAAGAGAGAGAGAGAGAGAGAGAGGGAGCCGTCTCAAGACCCTTTCACATTTTAATAAGGTTGCTACAAAGAACCACAATCCAATCCATTTACTTTGAATATTCTTGTTCTATTTTAACAGAAAGCTAATTTATAAGTGCTTTATGAATTATTCATGTTATGGTTATCTGTTTAATGCCAAGTAACTTACTGAATGAATGTGATTCTGAAGTACACAAATGGACAAGACCAATTTAAATGGTTATAATGCTCAACCACACTGTAATCATTCCTCAAATATTGACACTAACCACACAACATGAAGACACTGATTTCATCATTTTGATATCAGTGACAATGTAGACACAGTTACTACTGAGCTAAAGGGGAATGAGAACATATTTATTTTGCATAATCCCCTGAGAATGTACTAATATTTTAATACTTAGTAGTTGAATTGTTTTGCTTTAGAGGTTGTTCCTGAAATGAGTGTGGAGGGGTTAATTCACCTCTATGACCTCTATGACCTATGCATTTCAATTCAATTACTTAAATTACTTTTTTCAATTAGGTCAGTACAAATCATGTCGTTATTTTTACATCCCAGCTGGAGCTTTATTTCTAAGTGCACTCTGCAAAATGCATAGCAAAATAGTGACATTTGGAAAGAAACCTACATAGCTTTGTGGTTAGCACAAGTGTTGGATAAATGAGTGTGTCAACAGTGTTATGCAGCTATAGAGAGATGGCAGTATCATATGTGGAAATACAATTCAGTAAATCCCTTTAGATTTCTGTCGTGATAAATGATGACTACTGATGCTAAAACGGAGCAAATTCAGTGAAGTGTCAAAGGTAGAATTGAACAAAACCATTTGTTTCTTTGCTCTAGATTTATGTCATATTAAATCCCTTCTAAAAGGAAGG